CGCCGGCGGCACATGGCACCATCCGCTGAGTGGGCGGGGGCAGGGGGCGCAGGCGCAGTGTGAGCCGTCGTCCTTCACAGAACCCCTTCGGGTGTTTGGAGGGCAGTTGGGGGTTGTTTCCGTGCCCAACTTGAGGGTGGCTCTTCAGGGCCTCGCTGCCCGGGCGTAGCGTATCTCTTGCTAATACGGGAGGCGCGTATTCCTCTTTTGGTTCCCGGCGGGGCGCCGGTGTGAGGTGGGCAGGAAGGTGGCCTGGCTGCTGCCCCTCCGCGCTGAGGGGAAGCGGAGAGCCTCGCGGCAGGCCTGTGGCATGGGTGCCCGCGGACAGACTTGCAGTCTTTACTGAAGTCCCACGTAGAGGCGCTTTCTGTAGGAAATGGTGGGTGGCTGAGATGAGAGGCTTGAGGAGGATGGGTTTTTTTGCACCCACATCCCACACAGATGAGCGCGAAGCCACCTGCTTAGGTCCCGGCTGTGGTCTAGAAGTGGAGAGCTGTGTCACTTCTTTCAAGGGAAATGCAATCCAAGCAAAACTATTCATCTTTTTAAAAAGATGTGCAGTGTCAAGTAAGTGGTGATTCTTAAGCAGAAGTTTGGATTTTAAGTTTACAGGAATCTCCTCTTGCCATAATCTGTAAATGTGGGAATGGCAAATAGGGATGTCCTGAAGAACTCCTGCTTTTTCATTTTTGTGTACCTTTATCTGTTAAAAGCATTCTTCCCTTTCCTTTCTGGTGGCCCGTTATTTCTTCTGATGCGTCCCTGATTATTACTGTCTTCCATACTTTCTGGTTAGTCTGCGTGATGCACGCTGTGTTTCCTCAGTCTCAGAGTCCTGTGAGGTCGAGTGTATGAAATCTGCTGGATTCACTGGAAGACAATTTTCAGGAATGTAGGGCACCAGATGTACTTCTCACAAGAAGAAGTATCTAGGGGAAATTAAGTTCAGACATTCAGTAATAGAACCACGTTAAGCTACTAAATTAAGCCTGGTGCTTCAGCCATCTTCGTGGGAGATAGTATGCAACAGGCTTTCAGAAGCATACTGCAATATGTTGCACATACAGACATCCTCTGCGTTGCAATACATTCAATGTCATAAGTGCATCCCTTTAATGGTATTTAGTCATGTAGCAGTCTGTTGGTGATGCCTAAACACATGTATGACCTCTTACAACAGTCCATTTACCAACCTTCTCAAAGCGTGGGCTCAATGCTTTTGTTTCAGCACCCCTGCTGAAGTAGTCTTCATGAAGTCACATTAAAATAAATTTTCTTCCACCTACTTTTTTTTGACAGTATTGGCTATTTATTGCACTGTATGCCGACCTTTTCAGATGTAACACTGTGTGGGAAACACTCGTTCAAAGTATGAAAATAAACAGGCATTTCCAGTCCAACATACTGTTAAATGAAATGTTATATAAATTCTGGATTTAAAAAATATTGTAAGTTCATGACCTTCAGTAGGTAGAAAATTAGCTTAGGACTTAGAATATGGAATTCTCCTTTCTGACAGTTTTTGGATGACACTGAGAAGATTTAATCTCTGGAAAGTTTTCCAGTCTCAGTGAAAAAAATGGTTGTGATGGGCTTCATAAAATGGTCTGAAATAACATTAGGTCTGTGTATAATCAGGAGATTAGGTTTGCTGAAGCACTGAGAAGACATTCATAGGACAAAGCTCTCACAAATAATACTTCGGAAAAAATGTGAGGAAATGAACTTTGAGAATTTTTTTTATTACCTTGATTTCTAAGGCTTTCACCTGTAAATTTCATAACTCTTCAGAGAACGCATTTTTGATAACTAGAAGGTAGAATCAGGTGTTTAATACAAACTGAAAATTCAAAGTTGTCTACTCCCAGTTTTGTAGAAGAAACACTGAATAACTCAACATGGATGAGTACTAGCCATTGTTCTCCTTAACTGATGGAATCCCATAAAAAGAAGTCTCAGATCATGTAACAGAAGATAAAGGCACAAATGAGGCCAAACTGATGTGTAAAACATCTCAGTTCCACTTTTCCTGACTTCTGCATGTCTGGCTTTCAACTATGAAAATATTTTGTCGTCTTTTTTTTTTCTTTTACTATACAGATTCTACTTAAGAGTTTAGATCATCCCTGTCAGTACGAATCCAATTTCCTTTTATTTCAATAAAGACTCTGGGGACAAATTGGGAAGAGGTGCAAACTGGAACTCGGTGTCCAGCCCATGGTTTAATTCCTGCAGGGAATACCATTTCTGGGCAGCAGAATGCTGTTGTTTCATCCCCTTCCAGTGTGCCAATTGTTTCCTTTCACGTTGTAGCCATCGCAACTCCAGAGAAAGCAAAGTGAAGTTTTTTAAGGCAAATTGGACAGAAAAAATGGATAGACATTTCCTGGCACCTCTGAAGGTAACTACACTAAAGTAGTCTCTCGGGAATATGTCTGATGGCTCAGCCGTTATCAAAAACATGACAAGAGATATCTGCAAACATAAAATACTTTCAGAATTGGGCATTACATAATGCCTATCCTCTTTAGCTCTTATTATAAAAAGCTTAACTGCCACTAAATCTTATACCAGGATTGGAACTAATTATTGTATATGCCATGTAAGAGGCTGAAGATTATTTTTTTTTGGGGGGGGAGGGGGTGGTTTGACATTTCCCTTTTCATACCCTTCTCCCTATAAAGATAGACATTTTCAAAGGCCAAGAATATGAGATCATTAGGATACAAGGATGTAGGACAAAATCTTAAAATACTTGCACGGCGACATTACCTCAATATCTGATCCCCTGAGAATCTCTGCTCTTCCTGTTTATTTTAACAGTGTCGCTGAAAAGCAGCTAAGGACTATTTTTCTTATTTTATAAAGAAGGACTAAGACCCAAAGGGTAAGGCTTAGGTCTGGGCTCCTGAAGTCCAGCATCCAGGCTTTTCCAAACTCAGTGCTTGAAAGGCATTAGCGCTCTCAATATAAAAGAACTCTGAAAAAAGAATTTCTGGCTTCATCTACGCAGCCTTCCTCTGCGTTTTCCTGAAGGCAAGCAGCTGTGCCCTTCTTGTCACAGTCCTAATCAAGGTTCAGGCTTCTGTTGAAGCCACCACTACTATTATTCTCCTCTTACATATTAATCCTCCACATAGGAAGTAGAAAACTCAAATTTAATCCCTGCATCTTTTTGAGAAAAAAAAAAATAAAATTAGATACCGCCTGCCTCTCCCTATCAGTAGCAAGGTTTGGTACACTAAGTTATAATCTGGGGCCATCATTTACTCTTTTGTTGAAGCTGTGGCACATGCAGAGAAAACATGGATTCATTAGGCTTGAGAGAGCACCGAGTCTAAAACTGTGGTTAAACTACTTGTCCAGTAGAGGGAAATCTTGGCTTCTGGTTGCTATT